CAGCGAAAGAGTTTTACCGATTTTGTCCCGGAATTTCAATTGACAAAAACGCAAAATCCACTTTGTTAACAGGAAAACGTTCATTAATAGATCGAGTTCAAAATACATAACTACAAAGTTTTATAATTTTTTGTTAAAAAAGAACCGAAAAAAAAAAGTATAGAGACTATATGTTTAAATTGTTCTAATATTTAGTAGGATTTCCTTTGCTTTTATAACTGCTGCATTCTATTGGCATACTATTTACAAGATTTTGATAAACGTTAGCATTAATATTTTGCCACTATGACTCTGTGAATTGTGGCCGGAGCTCTATTTAGTATTAGATGTACTGCAATTATTAGTTCACTCAGCCCACATTTCCAAGCACCAATTATTTCTCCACGTTCAAAGAGTGTAAGTTCTGATCGTAAACTAGAAGCCATGTTTGCTATTGTCAGTAAACAAATCGTTAAGTTATAAATGCAAAAAAGCTTAATTCGCGTTTCGCGTATTGGTAGCACAGCTGTTTGCGCAATATCCCGATAAGTTGAACCGCCACACCCACTCACTGAATAATTCTATATTATCGATGAATGGGCAAACAAATCTAATAAAAATGCATATGCCGAGCCTGAATGGAAGCAGTTGAAAGAGATGTGGCCCTACTCAACGAAAATATGAAAATTACAACACACGCCGATATTGTGCAAATCATCTAAGCACATGCCCTTTTTTCGCTACAAAACATTCACCATGAACGAATATGTGGGGGGTTCAAAAAGTTTTGACACAGTGCACATATTCCAGCAACCACTGATCGTCTCAGCTTTATAAATATTTATATTAAAGCTTGAGTCACACTTGATTAAACATAAAAAATTTGACTAATTTTGATTTGATGGCCAATTGGTTACAAATTCTATATTAATATACATAAAATCTCCGCGTACTTGAAATCGTACGTCCGACATATCGAAAATACTTATTCTCTTTTTTACCTAAACTTTGTTTCTCTTTATAAACGAGATTACCACGTTTTGTTTAGTTGATCACAACTGTACGTTTGGAGCGTTATTAGAGATGCCGATTTTTATTTCGTCGCTCAAAATAATGTCCGAATAAAGTACTCAATTTATTCGGATAATTGTTCTCATTCAATCCATCTAAATAAGTTGTATCGATAATATACTCTTGCATAAACAATTCCAATGCATCCAAGCGCTCCTTTGTAGACTGTTCCAGCGAATCCGACTGATTTTTCAAGTTTTCTGACAATTCGTGAGATGCGAAATTTCCCGACTCAAATGACTGGTTTGATAATGACGTTATTAATTTTTGTTGTCGTTGTCGCTGTTGGAATGGAATGACAGAGAACGATTGATAAAGCTGCGAACGTGTTCGTGGAACAAAACAGCAACAGTAGAATTGGACCCAGCCCCATGGTCGTAGGGGATCATTACCTGAAAAATTCGATTAACGGTAACGTAATAAAGATACAAATCGAATAAACCTTCTGATTTGGTCGATTATGGTTTTAACAATTAAAGTAATGTAGTAGCGCATTACCAAAGAGAACAGCGTATAGACTTGCAGAAAGGCCCCATGCACCACCGACTAAACCGATTAGGCCAAGCACCTGCACGATGATGGTAGTAATTAATATTGTGTGTGCCAAAAGATTTGAATATAAACTACCGAAACTCACCGTGTGCGGTCTACGATTTGTTACGTTCAAGTGAACAATATTAGCAATAATAACCATTATTTGTTTGCCCAAGTTGTTCTCCACTTACCTAAACTCTATGTCAGTTCTGACAACAAAACTGCTAGCTCTTATGGAAAGTATCCCGTAACAATTAGGTTTGAACGTATCTGGATGGTAAGACAATGGTCCGTTGGAATCTAGCATAGATTCGGAATGAAAGTTTTTATATAGAAAAAGTGAGCAACACATGTTTATACGTTATCATTGTTGAACTATCTAAAGACTTTTCGGCTTACCTAATGAAGTAGTGATGTAAGGTACACGAATACGGCCAGATGGTATGCCGATAGTAGCGAGCGCGTTTGGTTTGATTACAAGTCTCTCATTCCGATTGAAATTCAGAGTACGATACTGTTGGTAAGCAAGAGAGTACGTCGATTGTTGATATAGCGAAATACTTAAATCTGGTTCTATTTTACAAATTTCACTAAAGGTTTCATTGTCGCATGAAAATTCTTGTTTTTATAATAACGCAGAAAAACAAGTCTTAGTTCCATGAGATAAGATATAACAATTTTCAATAGATATAATAGCCTGCTCCAAACCGTAAGCTTACCTGTATTATTTACTACTATATCCATTCCAAATGCTAAGTCAGAATCGCTGGTAGTGTTTGCGTTAAAAGTGGGGTCAATTATATTATTAACTAATGCAACTCCAAGTAGTCCGCTCAAATTGTCTAACGTTTGGACGTGCAGATTGAGCGGAGGCACAAAAGCGACGGCGTTTTTTTTTATGCCGGTGCCAGGTACCGCTATAGGCGGCTGTTGTTTGATGTGCTGGTTGCACCCATCTAAACCTGAATATGTTCCATCTTGTAAAATTAATTAGTATAGTGTATTACAACATTTTTCTCGATAGTTGATTAAAAAATTTATTTCTACTTTTACTTTGTCACTCAATAATGAGCATTAAAACGTTATTTGCTCAGTGTTTTTACTTACTATTGTATAGCAATACACAACTTGTGGTAAAGTTGTAGCCAGACATAATAGTTACTGTTGGAAGCGGAATGCTGTTTACTGATATTAATTTCGTCCTTATTATTGGAGTATCGTTGACGACGTCGACTATAAGAATGGTTGTATGTCCAAGTAATAGGACAAGAAATATAGTCATGGTAAAAATTCGACATTTTCGAACTAATTTTGGCTCAGTCTTGCGGTTTTTATTGAAAATCTGCATTTTTCAAAATCTAATAGTGGAAAGACAAGTTTGATCGACCCGACTCTAGAGCCTATATATATATATTAACCTCTTCACATAAGGTACATTTTCATCGCTATTACTTGGAATGTTACTAACTTCTTTTGACTTTATTCGCCGTTATTATTATATTATAATTACAAGTTAGAATAATTTAAAGATCCGACCCCCTTATTATTTGCCTTGTGCTTTGGTGTCCACCAATTGTATCTTCTTGTACGATGTAGATCTCCGGATTTTAGAAATAATCGTCGCAAAAACGCCTTTGGATTTTATATATATACTTATACTTATAGCTTATAGCAAGCTTACAAAGAGCGTTTATATAGCAAAAATTTGTTTACATACCCCGCAGCAGCGGACTTGCAATACTGTCGCATAAATAACAATAGAGAATAATATGGCACTCTATGATAATTCAAATAACGAGCCTCGCTTACTGTTGCATTGGTCAAATCTGTTCAAAGAACTACTTGGTCTTCTCGCACATATCGTTGCCATTTTCTCTGACTTTTTTTTTATTACACTAAAAAAAAAGATGTCCGCCGGAAATACTGTCCGAGTGAGATCTCTCCCTTACTATATCTAGCAAGATCGACAAAACTTAACGTTTAGACTAAATTTGAATGACAAGCCTCACAGTGAGCATCAATTTGTTAAACAAGTAAACCAACAATGTTGATTCTCCACTGGATTGTAAACTTTGTAGTGTATACGAACATAACTTGTTGACGTCATGTATTTAAATATTTATGATGATCATTTATGCTAGAGTTTTTACGATAGAGTCATGACTTTAGCTACTTCCGCGTTCATTATATTATGAACCCCATTTCTGTAACACATATCATATCATATCATATCATATCATATAATTAGACCATAACTTTGTTCGAACAATACACCAATAGTCTGTTTAGTGACTCAAATATTCGTCTATCAATACAGCACAGCCCATCTGTCCTATTTGATATACAAAAAAGGCATTATACTTGACTTGCGTCTCGCACTAAACAATAATCCCTTATTTTATTACTGCGCGAAATTCAATACTGTGATGAGTATCGCATGTTACGTAACACAAATTGCATCCATACGAAAATCATCACTAGCTTATTTGGTACCCGAGAACAAACCATATCTAAAACCATCTTAGCATGCAGAATTTTTGCCATCAATAATTATTTATACAAAAAGACTCATATAAATTGTGAATATAATATTGGCAATATACGATTCGCTAACTAAAAATATTTACCATAACTACGCAAACATATAAATACAATGGAATACTGTTTACGTTTATTATTATTTATAACATCAATTGCGTAATACATTAACTTATTCACTTCATATTTAACAGATACTTTCTGTTTCATTCTATTGTACCAAAGAATTTGCTTTGACATTATGTCTCACAATATACTGAACATATACTCATTTACTGACTATGAAGAAATTGACAGTTTTCTAATTTAAATGCACCATAGTACACATTTTTACCTGACGCTTTTCAACAAACGTTACCACCCGCATGTATGAATTATCCACAAAACAATCAATTCCTAAATTCTGTCGCTTTGACTCAATTCGCAAATCTCCCAAATAATATTCATCAGCAATTGTTTATTAATACCATCCCTGCATGGAAACCTTCTCGCCGTCTTCAAAAAAAGCTTCTTCAACTATTCAATGACCACTACAATCAATTCCCTTGCATCCCTTGCGTATATTGTGGCCAACTTCTATATCCAGAAAAAGCTACCTGGATTGCACAGGAAGATCTGTCAACATACGCTTTATTCCAATTATATCCATCGATTTCAATAGAAGACGTCGCTCATCCTAGTGCAAGAAAACTACCGACTTGTCATTGCTGCAAATTGCCATCGACAAGACTGCAAATTCCACGTCTTCAGAAATTCCTCAAGTAATTAGTAACGTGCCTTATGGAAAAAGAAAATATTTGTCACCTATCTTTTTGCATTCTAGTCTGGGAAGATCGACAA